GCTCGCTGGATTCAGATAGGCGCTGGCTATCGCATGCCGAGGCATACTCTGTCCAAAAGCATCGGCCACGGGGGTGCAGGCCAACACGCTACCGTACCAGTGCGTGGTGAGCTTCGGGTTAGCAGGCTACCCTCTTAGGCTCCTGCCCTTCCCCCCTACCCTTCACCCTAACAACATGGCCTACCTAGATATGTCTGTACACACATACAGTACGCTGCTAAGGCCGGCATGCAGAACATCGCACCCCGCCGACCTTACCGTCCTTACAGCCATCCCCCGGCTTGTCTCGTCTCGTCTCGAGGCCATCCTCGGCGATGATACAGACGGCGCCGCGTGCAACGTCTGGCGCCGCCGGCCCTGGGAAGAAGCCACGTGAAAAAAGAGGTGAAATCGGCCTGCCCTGTGGCTGTTCCCTTCCGCCCCTCTCTCCAGCCTGTCAGCACACAACGATATCGACCAGGATGCATGGCTTGAACTGTGACTCTAGACGGCTTTGACTCTTGAGTGACAGAAGCCATGGCGCAGTGATTGCCTCTCCCCTTCCCCCTTCCCCCTCCCCCACACACCGACTGACCCTCGATGCTGCTGGCAACATTGCTTCTTTTGCTGCTGGCTGGTGCTCCTCAACCACAGCTGACCACGCAGCCCCTCCCCCGTGACCATGTCCATGCACGTTATTCTGTGTTGTCCGAGGGTAACGAGAGTTTAACGGCAAGGTAGATACCGCCGGCATGGGGGTTGTAGGTTAGGTACGGTGTGTGCATACTGGGCATACCCGTAACTCTGCCGCCGCAAGCGCCACACGACGTTGTGATTGTTTGGCTGGCTGGCGGAATTACTGCATTCGTCGGGTGGAACGTGGCTACATACTACAACCACCTACGTACACTACACACCTGTTGACCTATAAACAACATGTAATGTACAGACAACACCTCAGCTCTGGCAAAGCACATACCCTACCCCTCCGTACATTCACAGTACAATACAATACTGTACAGCACCTTCTGCCAGGCAGTCTTTGCGTGCAACCCCGCCCTGGTCCCCTGCAGCCCTTCCTTCCAAGTAGTTGGCCTTCAGACCCCATCCCTACCCATAGGCAACCTCCCCAGTAGCCCAGCTATACGTCCAGCTACCTACTCTACCTACAAGACATACAGTCATGGCCCAGATGCGCGGTCCTCGGTTCGTGTCCATGGCGCGCCGTATGTCCATCTCATCGCTCAACGAGGACGGACTTCATCTCGTTTGACGTCTGTGTCCATGGACTACCGTCGCTAGACTGCCTCTCAAGCTCTCGGCCAAATCGGCGGAATGCATCTCGCCGGCCTTCTCTCGGCTGTTTGTCTGTCTTGGGTAGTCTTGGGCGCCCTCTTCCACTTCCACCCTGTTCCACTCAACCACCACCCAGGTAACCCAACCGCCAACCGCTGCTGCTATGGTAGTAGCCTGCCCACCTGCCGTAGGTACATGCGGTAAGCACTCTACTGCACATAGACTGTGCATCCTGCATCCACTCATCGTCTCGACCTTCCAGCTAGGCTGCAGCTTCCATACGGCAAGCCATGAACTCTATCAGACTCTAGCGTTGATGACTTAGTTATTACCTATTCCTACTGACTCTACTCTAGGAGTAGTAGGGAGGTACTCTACTCTAGTAGGTACAGTGTATGTAGGTGGTGCAACGGCCGTGTGGTTGCGACTCCATGGAAGGGGAATGGTCAACTGGCAGAAATTCCATGGCTACAGGCAGCCAAGGGCAACCAAAAAAGCTCGCTGGATTCAGACTCTTGTCTGGGTAGCACACTGTAGGTAACAATGTTGCAGGCAGGACAGGCAGGACAGGCAGACAGACAGGCATGCTGCTCTCCACGCTACCACGTCGAAGGTACAGTACGTAAGTACCTACATGCGGTCCTGTCCAGGTTGTCTCTCTTCTCCAGCGCGGCTACCCCAACCCCCATCCATGGGCCCCATCCATCCCACTCTACTACCCCACGCGTCAGCAACGCTGTTTTGTGTGTAACCTGGCTCGAGTGACAGCCCGCAGTGCGCACATACATACCTCATCTCCGCTCGAACCATGTTCCTATGAAGCTTTGATGGCACTCTCACCGAACGCCCGTTGGACCAGAGCGGTCGAGTCAAGGCAGCGTGCCATGTCACCCGTGGCCATCGTGGCCCATTACCCATTGCATTGCACCTTGCCCCTCCTTCCCCCCCCCCCCCCCTGCCGTGGCTTGCCCAGCAGCCCAGTTTCGGCAGATGGATTTCATTTCCACGCCCACACGCCGTTTCATTGGACCCTGCAGCGGCTCTCTGCCCTCTGTACATCCCACACGCCTTGGCTGCCACCCGACCTGCCCTCATCACCCCCCGCGCCCACCACTTCAAAAGCACACACACACACACACACACACGTCGAGGTGAAACACGCAGGTCGTCATGTATCGATGCATCCCACCCGCTGTGCCATCTCGCTGCAGCCCGTCACCGCTTGGTGCAGTAAGGTAGTGTAGCTTCGGAGGCTCACCCAGAAGGAAAAGAAGAAAAGAACACACAAAAGTTTGGTGCGGCGAAGCTTGATAAAGAGCCAAAGAAGGTAAGAGAAAGTTTGCAACCTCTTCGCCGATCCAATTCATTCTATTCTCTTCTTCTTCGTGTCTGTTCTGATCTGTGGCTATTCTTCTTCTCCACCATCTCCATCTCCTCCTCCTCCTCCTTCTTCTTGCTTTTCACCAAGTTGTTCTGCGACTAAGGCGTGCCGGCGCAAATGGTTGCAAGGTAACTTTCCACTGTCGCTTATAAGCGGCCGCTACCAAGCTCCCTGCACCAATCCGGAAGGACCAAACGGGCGCATCCCTTCCATGCATGCGATTTACCGACGTCATTGAATGCATTCACCCCCAACATCGCCCAACCTCTGCACGCCGGGAGTGTTCCCTACTCGCACAAGAAGCGAAGACGATCCGTTGCGATTAGATCAAAGAGCTTCACGATTCATCCATAGATCTGGTGTCTGTTGTGCCATCAATAACCACCCTTGTTGCTGAGCACGCTCGCAGCAAATAACGTCCCTCCTCCCCACGCCGCCAGCTGAACAGAGCAGGTCTGGCGAGGGATCAGCACTTGGTCGTCTCCAATCAGCGGCCAGTCTTGTAGGACGGGCACCTTCATCACCCTGGAGAACAACATGACCGCTTGCAGCAATCACGACAGGGTCAGCAAGTCCGCTATACGGCACTGTTGAACACAGAGTAGCGGCGGCGACAGCAGCGTTTATATCGTACAGGAGAACAGGACTAGTCGGCCGTGGTGCCAGATTTCAGATGGATCGATCTGACCTCTGAAGCTCAGGCGCTCTTGCGACAGTGGCAGGGCATACATAGGCAAATGGTCACCGCATTAGCTCTTCGCTAATAGGGCGAGTGACCTCTGTACTCATTGGATTGGCAAGTAGGGCGGCAGGAACGCTTACTGTGTATACATAGTCGCACCGATCAATGGACCCTGATCGGTCAACGGTAAAACCATAACTCTCCACAACACAATCTGTGTATTATACAGCAGAAGACTACGATCTGCATTTGGAATCATACTAGGATTTCCCGGGGCATCTCAAACTCTGTCATGGATTGATATTGGCATTGGCTAGAGTCAGAGTCGACGGTGATGCAACATTCGCGCCAAGCAGCCCTGTTGTCCTGAGTTCGCCCAAAAGACACCATCACGGCTGTTTACTATATACAGCTTCACTCGCATGCGTCTCTCCTTGCTTTCTCCACGGTGACGCCTGCATCTTCGGTTAATTCGAAGCCGAATCGTTCTGGGTCGGTCTCACCTGCATGGTAGGAGAGGCCGTGTCGGATCTTCTCGTTGTTTACAGTACATTAATGCAAGACCACTCCGCGTCTCAGCTTCCAATCAGAAACCCATCTAGGGCGAGCAGCACTATGATCATCGACGACAGGCTCAGCACGGTTCGAAAATCACCCAGCAGCTGCCAGCAGGGATGGAATTAGACGAGCATGCGGCTGAACAATGAAGTCACTCGATGAGGATCATGGACTGCACAACATAGGAGTGGGCAGTCTTGACCTCTTCTTTGCCCCACCGCTTAAGCATCTCACGACTCGACAGAAGACATCACACTGGTTGTCAGGATTCTAGCGAACTTCTACCGTCCCCATCGGGCCGACTACCTGTCCCTGATCACGCTCTATCGGCCCTTGACCAACGTGGTTGTACGGCAACTCTCCACCTCACACTACCTGCTTTGATATGCACATCCAATTTGAACGGTTTACCACATGGAGATTTCCGAGCCGTAGACGACGATTCAGCCGCCCCGTGTGAAACCTCATTCATGTCCTCGATGAGCTCGATGCGACGTCAAATACGATTCATCGGCCCTTTTTCATCTCACAGCCCGCCGTTGACGTCAGATTGACAATGGGGTATCCTCAGCTCGCAACAGTGCTGAATCTCTGTGCCGGGCAATCGACGCACCCAGCACGGGATGCGTAAGATGGATGATGGAAAGTACAACAACAACGCAACCAGGGGGCTTGTATTTGCCCTCATGCAAGCAATATTGGCCAGCTATTGGGCTTACATAGCCCTGTGGTCATGGTGGAGAGCACGGCTGTCAGAGTTACGACTCAAGAAACATGACGCCAAACAAGGGAGGCTGAACGCATCATCACCCTAGTCACCGGAGTTTCTTGTTGTCACATTCTAGCTTATCGAACAATTGTCGTGGGTTTCGGACTTGCGTTCCTATCCGAACCTTGTCGCTCGGCTCCAGCAACCTGTTCAACATTTCGTAGCACGATGTTGCGGATGCGGGCGTACTACAAACTTATTCGAGCTTGGCAACTTGATTAAACCCAGAACTCAACACCCAACAAATTGGTTCTGACCACTCTGGGACCCTTCCCCACACATTCCGCAACGATAACGCCATAGATGATGCCGAAACCTTAATACCCAAACCCTCTTGCGGGGTAACACTTCTGGATGATGCACTCAACCCAAACATGTGTAAGTTTGGTTTGCAGCCTATCGCACCGCAACGATGGACGCCAGGCCAACATAATCAGGTCAAACCAATAACGACAATCGATGTTCATTGGGCCGCGCAGTTACTCTCATTTGTTACGAAATACTGACGTTTCACTCCTCGACGTTGACTGTCCCGATGAGCCTCACGCAATGCTCCATATATCGCGATTGGATAGGCTAGATTCTTTGTCTCCTAGCGGTTGCGTCCGCCCTTTCCGACATGGGCCGGCTTTGTCCAAGGCATACTTTTAACATGTACTTCGCTACCAGTTTGATCGGTTGTCAGACTGGCACTCCCATCGACGTCGATACGAGATTGTAGTCTCGATGTAGTCGGCATGATAGCCCGAGCAAAAGCTACACAGATGAGGCCGCTATTCACTCGACGCAATCGGTCAAGGTGTGATCTGTCGGTTCAGCCTATGATCTCTTGGGACGAAGCTGTATCGACTGGACATGGACTTGATCGGCACTATCCTGCAGTTGGCTCATCTTTGCTACACTAATCCAGATTTAAGTCGAGAAATAAGTCTTAACATAACGACAACAGGTTCTATCCCGGATTTTCCAGGCAGCGAATCCATGGCCACACGAGCCTTCCTACCTTCTCATCCTTGCCCCGGGCCAGTACCTATTCAGCGGTATAATTCGTCTTCTGATGACTCGTCATGTATCTCCATGGCCTTTCCCTTTCCTTTCCTATTGTCAACAGCTGCATTCGCACCTCTCTCTTGCCTATCCATCTCCAACCAATTCGGTACACCCTCAACATCTGTGAACTCCACAAATCCGCCCTTCCAAGCATCACCATGCAGCTTCTCATCTCCACTAGCCCCAACTTTCCCCTTACTATACCCCCGCGCTCTCCCCCAGCGACAATACACCCACCCATGCGTCAGCATCCTCACCCTAATCCCCTGATTCTCAGACGCAGCATCTTCAAACTTGGGTACCTCCGCCGTGCTATCCCCCGTCTCCCACCCCCCGCGCCGATACGCACACAGGCCCCTCATGATGGTGATTTGCGTGAGAGCTTCATCGCCGCGCGCCCGCTGCTTCTCGGCCTCTGACAGCCTGGCACGACGCTCCTGCTCCGCCTTGCTCAGCTTCTCCACGGGTGTACGTGGATTCCGCTGCGTCATGTCGGCATGGTTGATGCATTTCATGCGGTCGGGGTCGTACTTGTTCTCTTTGAACAGTGGCTCAAAGTAGTAGACCGTGTGTCTGTCCAGTCGCATAAGCAGGCTGAGCAGTCCGGCTTGCGTGACAATCTGGTGCAGGGCGGCGAAGATGGGGGCGGGGATTGGCGTTGTGGTGTTGTGAGCGCCCTGGGCGCCGTGGCAGAGTGTGTAGATGGGCGCGAGGTGGGCCCATAGCGCGTGGATGATGTGGACTACATGGGCGATAAAGGTAGGAGGAAGTCTAAAGTCGAGTTTGTCGGCTGCCTCCTTGTTCTCGAGGAGCGAGGCAATGTACGTTGCGTATTGGGCGTTTCGATCGAATCCTACATCACACACAATCATTAACCCCTTATCCTCTGCCTTTTCTTTTCCTTTTCCTCTCCCACACAACCACAACCACACGAGAACAACTCCCCAAAACAAACTCAAACAAAAAAACAAAGGAGAACGAGAATTCTCACTCACCATGCCACTCCGCACACTCCCCCTCCACCCCCTCCACCCCCATGACCCCTTCCTCCCCTCCCCCAAACATCAAATGCCCAAACTTTCT